TCTCGACATATCTAAAGCTTTCGACAAAGTTTGGCATGCTGGTCTTCTCCATAAAATTGCTTCATATGGTATTCCTGGGAAAGTTTTTGAGATTATCAAATCATTTCTTTCTAACCAATTTATTAAAGTCATCCTTGAAGGCCAACACTCTTCTTTATTTCCAGTAATTTCTGGGGTTCCCCAAGGTTCCATCCTGGGCCCTGTCTTGTTTCTTATCTACATAAACGATCTTCCTGACAACCTTTCATCTAATGTAGCTCTTTTTGCTGATGACTCAACTTTATACTCCTGTATTGACAAAAAGTCTTCTCTTTTCGATCGCCTAGAACAAGCAGCTGATCTTGAATCCGATCTCACTTCAGTAATAGATTGGGGTTCCCAGTGGCTTGTGAATTTCAACTCTAAAAAAACCCAGTTGCTTACTGCAAACAACTACCGTAATATGGTCAACATTCCTATATTAATGAATGGCAATCCTCTTACTGAGTCCTCCTCTTTACGTCTTCTTGGATTATTGCCTACTACAGACCTTTCATGGAAACCATATATACAATCGATTGCTAAATTAGCTTCTGCTAAGGTTGCTTCACTTTATCGTGCTCGCTATTTCCTTACTTCTGATTCCATTCTCTACCTCTACCAATCTCTTATTCGTCCCTGTATGGAATACTGTTGTCATATTTGGGCTGGTTCTTCTAACGATTCACTTTCTCTTCTTGACAAGGTCCAAAATCGCATTGTAAATGTTGTTGAACCTGGACTATCTGCTAAGCTAGAACCTCTTTCCCATCGTCGTAAAGTTGCATCTCTTTCTCTTTTCTACAAATACTATCATGGTCACTGCTCAAAGGAGTTATCATCTCTAGTTTCATCAACTAAAATTCATTCTCGTTTTACTCGTCATTCAGCTAAGTCTCATTCGTTTACTGTATCTGTCCCTGCATGCTCTAAAACCTTTTATTCATCTAGTTTTTTTCCCCGCACTTCAATCCTTTGGAACTCTCTCCCATCTTCATGTTTTCCTGACTCATACAACCTTCAACTTTTCAAGTTTTCTGTCAACCGTTTCCTTGCTCTATAACTCTGTTCTTTTTTTTCCTAGTAACTCCCAACTTAATAGTGGTTGCTTGCAGTCTTGTTGAATGCTCATTCCTCATCTATTAGGCTGGCGCAGATGTATTTTTAATACATTGTTTCCAGTTTAGGATGTTGAACGCTGGATCTTCTTGACTCAATGCGTGGGTATTGCTTGTGTCTCTATTTTTATGACTGGGCAACTCATTCTATTATCTCCTAATGAGGGTACAGCTCTAAAACTCAGTTTTATGGTTCTGAGGCCGGCTGGTAGTCAGGCTTCCCGAACTCTGTGGTAGCTCTCAGAGAGGCTGATTCCATCAACAGCCGAAAAATATCAGAGTACTAACAGTGCCATGTTGCGCATGGATGGTGCCCCTGTTTGTACTTTTGGTGTGCATTGCAGAGGCCACATTTGGAGCCCTTTGTTACGGCTTAGGGTTTATTAATAGTAATGAAGCTATTGCTTAGTTGTTAAATAGTGTACTGAGTACTATCTATACTTGAGTCAAGTTCTTTATAAATTTAAAATGACTAAAGTACCTAAAACTAAAAAACACAAAAAACCATCGTCATCACCAAGTTCTCTAAACCTATCATTTACTAATATTCGTGGTCTTCGAAGTAACTTTTCTTTTGTTGAGTCTTATCTCTTGCAAAGTTCACCAGACCTACTTGCTCTTTGTGAGACTAATTTGAGTTCGGCTGTCCCATCTTGTGATCTTAGTGTTGATGGTTATCTTCCTTTAATTCGTAAAGACTCCAATAATCACATGCTTGGCCTGGGCATCTACATTCGTAAGAACTCACCCATTTGTCGTGAAACTAGGTTTGAATCTACAGACTACTCATTTATGTGCTTTCGTTTAGCACAACTTCACTCTATCGCCTTTCTCTTTGTTCTATATCGCTCTCCTTCATCCCAAGATTGCACTATTCTTGATGTTATTTCTGATCAAATTGACCAAGCCCTCTCTCTTTATCCATCGGCCAATATCGTCGTTGTTGGTGACTTTAATGCCCATCACACCGATTGGCTTGGCTCTAGTGTCAGTGACTCTGCTGGCGTTAAGGCCCTCAACTTTTGCCTTTCTCAATCTCTAACTCAAATAGTCAACTTTCCAACTCGTTTTCCAGACAACCCTAATCATTTACCTTCTCTACTCGACTTATGTCTTGTTTTGGATCCTAGTCAGTGCTCAATTTCTCCACATTCACCCTTAGGTACTTCTGATCACGGTTTGATCTCTCTAAAACTATTATCAAATTCTTCTACTTCATCAGAATCCCCCTATCATCGTACCACATACAACTACCTTAAAGCTGACTGGTACTCTTTCCGTGATTTTCTTCGTGATGGCCCTTGGGTAGAAATCTTTCGTCTTCCTGCTGACAAATGTGCTTCTTACATAACTTCGTGGATTCAGGCTGGCATGGAATCCTTTATTCCCTCTTGACGATTCCAGGTCAAACCTCACTCTTCTCCATGGTTTTCCTCACATTGCGCTGCAGCAATTTCTAATCGAAACCGTTACTTCCATATCTATCAGCAAAACAATTCTCCAGAAAACAGACATCTGTTCACTATCGCCAGAAACCATTGTAAAAAGGTTTTGTCTGACGCCAAAGCTCGCTATTCCCAGGTCATTAAATCTCGTATCTCATCACAAAAATTAGGCTCTCGCGACTTCTGGAGAATCTTTAACAGTATCAATAATAAGGGCAAATCTGTTATTCCTTCTCTCTTGTATGGTTCAGACTTTGTCACCTCACCTAAAGACAAAGCTGAATTGTTTGCTAAGAACTTTTCATCAATATCATCTCTTGATTCCACTAGTTGCGTTTTACCTGACATAGCCGTCAAACAGGTTGATCCCTTGCTTGACATTCGCATCACTTCAGCTTCTGTATCTAAAGTAATTTCCTGCTTAGACTCTTCAACAGCTTGTGGTCCTGACAACATTCCTGTTGTAGTCTTGCAGAGGTGTTCTCCGGAGCTTTCATCCATACTTTCTAAACTATTTAACAAGTGCTTATCAGAGTCTTGTTTTCCATCATGCTGGAAAGCAGCATCTGTTATCCCTATTTTCAAAAATTCCGGAGAGCGATCTGATTCATCTAACTACCGTCCCATTAGTCTTCTTCCTGTCATAAGCAAGGTTTTTGAATCTTTAATCAACAAACACTTGATCTCTCATCTTGAATCAAATAACTTACTTTCTGATCATCAATATGGATTTCGGTCTTCTCGTTCTACAGCTGATGTGCTAACAGTAATAACCGATAGGTTTTACCGTGCATTAGATAGAGGTGGAGAGGTTAAGGCTATCGCACTTGACATTTCTAAAGCTTTTGATAAAGTTTGGCATGCTGGTCTTCTCCATAAGCTTTCTTCTTATGGTGTAGCTGGTAATGTCTTTAAGATTATTGAGTCCTTTCTTTCCAATCGTAGTATAAAAGTTGTCCTCAATGGACAACACTCTTCTTCACATCCTGTAACTTCAGGGGTTCCTCAAGGTTCAATCCTTGGCCCTATACTCTTTTTAATTTACATTAACAATCTTCCAGATATTCTCACATCTAAGGTGGCATTATTCGCTGACGACACTACCATTTACTCTTGTCATGATAAGAAGCCTACACTCTCTGATTGCTTGGAGGGGGTATCTGAGCTTGAAAAGGATCTCACTTCTGCTACAGCATGGGGCTCACAGTGGCTGGTGAACTTTAATTCAGATAAAACTCAATTTTATTCGGCCAATCGTTATCGTAATAATTTAGATCTTCCTATATTTATGAATGGTAATGTACTAGATGAGTCATCTACCATTCATCTTCTAGGATTAACTCTTACTTCTGATCTTTCTTTTAAACCGTATATCAAATCCATTGCAAAATTAGCATCTGCTAAGGTTGCATCTCTTTATCGAGCTCGACACTTTCTTACTCCAGATTCTATTCTCTATCTCTATAAATCTCAAATCCGTCCCTGTATGGAATACTGTTGCCACATCTGGGGCGGATCTTCTAATGATGCTCTTTCTCTTTTAGACAAGGTGCAAAAACGAATTGTAAACATAGTTGGACCTGCTCTGGCAGCCAATCTCCAACCTTTGTCACACCGTCGTAATGTTGCTTCTTTTTCTCTTTTCTACAAATACTATAATGGGCACTGCTCTAAAGAGCTAGCGTCCCTTGTGCCATCTACTAAAATTCATTCTCGTGTTACTCGCCATTCAATTAAGTCTCATCCTTTTTCTGTGACTGTTCCTAAGTGCTTCAAAAACTCTTATTCTTCTAGTTTTTTTCCTCGAACATCAGTTCTTTGGAATTCGCTTCCTTCATCTTGCTTTCCTGATTCATATAATTTGCAATCTTTTAAGTCATCAGTCAATCGTTATCTTGCTCTACAGATTTAGTCTTTTCTCTTCCAGTAACTTCCAACTCTTATAGTGGTTGCTTGCAGCCTTGTTGGAAGTGAAGATGTTAAAAAAAAAAAAAAAAAAAAAAAAGAATGCAAATAAAAAATAAAAAATAAAAAATAAGTTCAAGTTTTTGTTTTTTAGGTTTTTATTAACAGTAATCTTTTTTTAGGCTTTTATTAACAGTAATCTTTTTTTAGGTTCTTATTGACAGTAATCTTTTTTTAGGTTCTTATTAACAGTAATCTTTTTATTAACAGTAATCTTTTTTACTATCAAATTAATTAAACAATGTTAAAGTTATTTTATTTACTAAAAATTGCTTTAATTAATTAAATTGATTAAATTTAATTAAGCATTAAGTAAAAAAATATTAAATATGCTTAAAAAGTCAAAAAACTTAATGTCCTTTTATATATTGGTCATAATTTTAAACCTAATTATGCCTTATCCATCATATATTTATGAAATCAAAAAATAAAATTATGTAAGACTTTTACTTACCACCAAAAAACTTTCCCAGACAGAGTGTGGACTACAGTATGAAAAAATGAACATTTTATATCAATTATAGTTTCTAATTGCAACTCGTCAAATGCTACAGGTTCATGTGTCAATATACGAATAAGACTTGGCCATGCTCCTTTGTTAACATCTAAGTTAGTTAATTAAATGTTTTTATTAAAAATACTTGACAAATATTGAAAAGAGTAATGTTATTGTAAGAATAAAGTGGTGGTAGTACCTTGGTAGCGGTAATGTGGTAGTAATGCAGTAGTATTAATGATGTGGTAGTAAGAAAAAAGTGGTAATTATGCAGCAATAATAGTGAAAAAGTTGTGGCAGTAGGAAGAAAGCATGCAGTTGAAGTAGTGAAAAGTGGTATTCATGCTGTATTAATATTCACTGCAGTGATAGTAAATATAGTAACCTATTTGTAGAGATGTAGTGATAAAGATAATTATTCAACAAGAGTTTATCAATTTTTAAAAAAATTTTAATTCGAAACTACAGTGAAAAAAAAAGGTTGAACAAATATTTTTAGTGAAAGATGCCGATGTAAAAATAATTGTCACTGATTGGATGTTTACTTAATTATATTTATATGAAAACACCTTACATTGAAAGGAATAATCATGTAGAGTTACAAGCTTATTTGAAGCAAGGAGGAGTGTCATTCTATAGCCACTGCAACCTATTAAAACAACCTTATCATTTAACCCATTCCATTCATATTCAAGTTTAACAGGAAGCTCTTCATTATTGTTCAAAAACCAAACAACGCCATCTGAATCTAATAAAATAAATCCACTTTCCATGGCATAAATTGATTGAACTTTTAAATTCTAAATTAAAAATAGACACAAAATTAAATACTTAAAAATTAATTTTATCTATTATTTAGTATTTGTCAGTACAAATACTAAATAATAGATAAGATACTACATTATTACAAATACTGTAAGTACACTTTGTACTTACAGTACTTTGTACTGTAAGTACAAAGTACTGCAAAATACTACAAAGAATGCCTACACAGTATGCAAACATGCAACAAAATCAGCAAATAATCTGAGCTGTGACAATTGTAAAGAAAACGTACCAAGAAAGTGTACCCCCAACGATTTTTGTAAGGGTGCGGTTGTGCCTCACAATGGGGGCAAAATCATTTATTTCACTAAGTGTAGTTTTTGTGTAATAACATTTTCAAAACCTGTTTAATTTTTTTCTTAATTACAATAATTTAAAGCTTAATGATATGATTATTGAAATAAACTGTTAAAAAAACACATTTCATTTTTATTTTCATATAATATTAATCCAAACGTTACGGGGACAGTTATACCCCTACATTTCCTTACATTTTTAAAATGCGCTAAAAAAATTTTCAACTTAACTATATAGAAATTTAAAAAAAAACACATCGTTAAACAAGCAAATAAATCTTCGCAAAAAAAAAGCAAAAAAAAAACTAAAGTGAAACTTAGTTTTAGTTTTTTTATTTTTTATTTATTATTATTTTTTATTTTAGTTAAGTTTTAATTTTATTTTTGCTATTTTAGTTTTAGTGAAATTATTTATAAGTTTTAAAATACAGTTAATACAGTTTGTCTAAAAAGTTATTATACTTTTCTTTAATTCTTTGTTTTATTAACTATCCTAATATCACATGAGGTAGTACACAACCAACAAAACTTAAAAATAATACTCTATAATAGAGTTATTAATGGGAAAAAAGAGGGGAACATACCCTTAATGAGAAATATGAAAGTGATGGATGTAGACAAAATATATTTTTATCAGTACCTAATTTTTATGTATATTATCATGGCCTACTTTATAGAAGGCCTCGACACTGTGCGGGAATTTTTTTGACTGAAGGCCGATTTAAAACTGTTACAAACGCATTTTTTGGTTGGAAAAGGAGTAAAATATTAGTTACGTTTTTTCAGAAAAATTTACAGCTATTCTTCAAGTAAATATAATTTAAATTATTTAGAATGCCTTTAAAATGTTGTGTTCCAAACTGTTCCTCAAATTATAAGTCTTCAGCTTGTAATGTATCTGTGTAAATTCCCTCGTGAAGTATGTGAAAAAACTAAATGGTTTATGAGCATCCCTCATTTAAATTGGACAGTAACAAAATACACCGTTGTTTGTAAATTGCATTGACCAAATGATGCAGAGTTTAAATTATGTCGTGGTAAATTAAGACCGATTCATCCTCCATCAGTGTTTCCAAATATATCTAAAAGTTGTCTATCCTCTCCACCACCTAAAACGAGAAAGACTTTATCTTCTTCAAAAAGAGGTATCAGAAAAGATGAATTAGAAGAATATAAAATATTTGATAATTTAAATTTTGAAGAAATCGAAAAACACTTATCAACTTATAATGATTTGATTTCATACAAGCAAAATAATTCAATTTTCATCCAATCTAAAATATTTAATTGGGGTGTTCCACTATTTTTGCTAATAATTAATCAAAGTTTGTCGTTCGAAGCATTTCATTTTGGTTCAAAATGTACTATTAAATCTCTGGCAAATAACAGAATCACTTCCCTTTGTACAAAGTCATCTTTAAATGAAGCCCTTAGATATCTGAAAGTTGAAGATAAGGATCAAAAAACTCAAGTAATGTTTGAGCATTTAAATGTAATGGGAGATCATACTGTTGGCTGTGCTGTGTATTCTCCAGATATAATAACCAGAGCTTTTGAATATTTTGCAACAAGTCGTTCCACTTACCATTGATTATGTTATGATTATCAGTTGCCAAGTATTCGAACTTTGACACTCATAACTTTAAAAATAAACTCTCAAGATGATTTAATTTTTTTAAGTTCTGTGTTATCGAACCTTGATGAAAAAAAAAGAAATTGTGTTTTATTGATAGATGAAGTTTATGTAAAAGCAGCATTATTATATCAAAGTGGACGTATTTTTGGAAAAGCTGTTAATAATCCAGAGAAATTAGCTACTACTGTACTTTCATTCATGGTAAAAAGCCTTTATGGTGGACCTGAATTTCTAGCAAGAGTTTTACCAGTTAGTAATCTGACATCAGATTTTCAACAAGAACAGTGCAAATTAATTGTAGACACCATAGAAAGTTTTATGAGTAATGGTAAAGTTATTGTAACTATTACAGATGGAAATAAAGTTAATCAAAGCTTTTTTTCTAAATTCAAAACCGTAGACGGAAAACCTTGGTTATGTCAAAATGCCTCTTATATTTTATAAGACTATGTCCATCTTTTAAAGTGCATAAGAAACAATTGGCTGACAGAAAAACTAGGTCAGTTACAGTTTACTCAAAATGAGATAACTTACATTGCAAATTGGAGAGATTTAGTTAACTTATATACACTTGAAAAAAACCAATTAATAAAGTTATCAAGATTGACTGAAACATCAATAAATCCTAAACCAATAGAACGGCAAAAAGTAAGCACTTGTTTACAAGTATTTAGTGAAGAGACAGTTGTAGCTCTAAAAACTCATCCTAAAATAGACCAAGAAAGTGTCAAGGGTACTATTATTTTTTTGGTCGATTATAGAACTTTGGAAAATAGTGAATGTTAAATGCCCAGGTGCCAATGCTAGATTTAGGGATGAGTCACGTAATGTAATCAGATCTTCAGATGCCATTAATTTAAAAAAGTTACTTGCTATTGCAAAAATGGCAGAATATATGAAACCAACATCTGGTAAACGAATTCGCCAGCTTACGAGAGATACAAGCAATGCACTTTCACACACTTGTCATGGACTAATTGATTTGTCTTGTCATCTTTTATCAAGTGGAAATGAGTATGTTATTTTAGGTTGGCTTTCTAGTGATCCAATTGAGAAATGTTTCGGAAAACTACGGCAAGGTTCTGGTGGTACTTACTTTATAACTGCTAAATCAGTTATCGAAAAAGTATGTATTCAACATGCTAAGCTGGTGCTACAGCTGAATATCGAAGTAGAAGGAAATGATGGCCATGACTGTATTTTATGTCTTAAAGATTTAGATGATATGGAAATTGATATAATTTACAATTTAGCAGATCTAGAAGATAGTATAAATATAGAAATTTTATATGCTATTGTCTATATTACTGGTTATGTTCAAAAGTGTTCTACTGAAGAAATTGGTGAAGATACAACTACATATTATGAAAAATATGGAACTTATTTGAATACTTTAAATAGGGGAGGATTAACTATTCCATCTGATACTCTATCTGATCTCAGTGGTCTTTATTTTGTTACATATTTTTTTCTTTATTAGATAAAAAAGTTTGCAGAACATTTCTGATACAACAGTTTGCTTTTATTGCAGAGTTGTATAGTTTTTCTATTGCAAAGAAACAATGCCAAACACTAGCAAACATTTTTTTAAAGAACTTTGCATTACTTCACACTCCCAAAAGTAATAAAGAAGCAAAACTAAAAGAAATCAAGCTTATGTAATTTTTTTTTTTGGGAAGATTTAGTACAAAAAAAATTAGATTTGTTATTGGTGTATTTGATTATGATTATTTCTTGTATATTCAAAAATTTGATTTAAAATGTTTCTATTTAACTTTAAAAACTATTTCAGCTTATAAAATAGTTGTCAAATTAACGTCAAGAAACTCATTTTATAAAAATGCATCTAAAATTTTTTCAAATAGAATAATTAGTTATTAAATAATTAGTGTTAGCAAAGCTGTACAGCATTTTTCCCTTTTAATAAACCGCCATTTTATTTTTAAATCGGCCTTCAGTCAAAAAATTCACGCACGGTGTCGAGGCATTTCTATAAAGTAGGTCGTGATAATTATAATAATAATCTAACTCTGGCTAATTTCATTAATAGATTTGAGAAAAATCTAAGTGAAAAGTATTTCTTAAGTACAAATCAATCTAATTCTTTCTCACTGCCAAGGAAACTAAATAAATATACAAAATATTCAATAACATTTTGTGGACCTAAATAGTGGAATTCTTTTTAAAAAAATAATGCAAATATGGTAAATTTATTAAACTCATTTAAGTTCCAAGCAACAAAACACTTTTTTAATTTTGCGGAATAATAATTTCAAAACCCTTTTGTAAATTTATTTAAATTAATTTTACTTATTACAGCGCTCGAAATAATTATCCAAGGTTGCCGATCAACATTGATCGGCTGAAATAAAAAAAATTAAAAACCAGGTGATTAAATAAGTTTTAAGATAATTTTTTTTTAAATTTTACTAAAATTTACAATTCATTTTTTTGATCCTACCTTAATTGATTTTTGTTTTGACATTATAATTTTACACCTTTTAATTAATTATAATTTTATAACTTTTGCCCTTATAATTTTAATTATTCTCTTTAGAATTTGAGTAAATCATTTGTTTTGCCATTTTCAATTTATTAATTTTATTTAGAATTTAATTTACCATTTGTTTTGCCATTTTTCTTTTTGTATTATTTTGAATATATAAATATTTTATTTAGAGTTTATATAAATCATCTATTTTGTCATATTTCTTTTTAATTGTTTTAGTTTGAGTATAAATAAAACATTACCGTTTTTATTTAAATCATTTTGTTTGGAATTTAAATTAACATTAGTTTTGCCATATTTATTTTAGTTATGTTATTCAGAATTTAAGCAAATGTTTGTTTAAATTTTATTTAGAATTTAAAGAAAACAATATTTTGCTGTTTTTATTTTAGTTATTTTATTTAGAATTGAAATAAATCATTTGTTTTGCCATTTTTATTTTAAGTATTTTCTTTTGAATCAAAATAAAACTTTGCTTTTTTTTATATATATATATTTTATTTACAATATAAATAAGTTTGTTTTTCCGTTTTTATCCTAATTATTTTATATAAAATATAAATTAGTTTTCGATGTGCCGCTTTTATTTTATTATAGAAAATAAACAAATGGTTTGTTTTTCCTTTTTAATTTTATTTAGAATTATAATAAAACTTTGCAGTTTTTTTTTAATTATTTTATTCAGAATTTAAATAAGTTGTTTGTTTTGCCGTTTTTACCTATATTATTTTATTTAGAATATAATTCATTTCAAAATAGTTTTGATGCTAATTAAATTTTAACTTTGCGTATTTAAAATGTTTTTGTATTAACTATTACAAAAGTTTGACTAGCAACTTCTGCCAATTATATTTGATAGGCCAGATTTAATTTTAAGCAATCAAAATGTCAATTTTTCCAAAAGTAGACTATTTTTGATCCTTGATCAGCCCCTATTTCGAGCGCTGCTTATTATTCTTAGTAGTTATAAATTAAGGTGTATTGAAAAACAATTTTTTTTGAATTTGAAACTGTAATAGAGTGGAAAAGTTGCATAATGCTATAAAAAAGTAATTATGCCAAATTTTTTTATATTTTTTTTATGTTTTTAGTTCGCCCTAGGGTTTTATTTTTCATACAAAAACACATTTTCTGACCTTTTTTACAAATTAAAAATAACAAATTCTATGCATTTACTTGAGTTGTAATAGAGTTTAAACATTATACAATGACTATGTTAGAAATGATTACAATTTTTTTGAAAATATTTTATATTCTTCAGTTGTCGTTAGAGAGCTGAGTTTATACGAAAAAAGTTTTATGAGTTTCTGGCAAACAAGCTCTACAGTCCATAATATACAAATAAAATTTTAATAGAGTGGAAAATGTTTTTGAAAAATGTTTAAAGTTTAGCTGTTATAAAGTTCAACTATCTGATTTATTTGGATCTATCTCAAACTGACATTTAGTGTTGAATAAAGGCATTATTTTTTGCAATGCAAGTCTTGCACGAATGAAGCCGTTTCTACTAGCGAAACCACAAACTTAATCTGAAGCTAAATAAAATGATTTCTGGAATAGAGATTCTCTATGCCAGAAATCAATTTTGAAGCAAAAGACTAAAACATTGTCAACTGTTGTGAAATAAGAATCTTCCGTAAAAATGTAGAGTTTCTGTACAGAAATTCATCTAATGATGATGATGATGATGATGATGATGATGATGATGATGATGATGATGATGATGATGATGATGATGATGATGATGATGATGATGATGATGATGATGATGATGATGATGATGATGATGATGATGATGATGATGATGATACTTATAGTACGTATGTGACTCTGGTAAAAACATTTTCTAATATAAGGGGCTCTGAAAAATAGTTTATAACAGATATACAAGATATATATTGCATTTATATAGAAGGAGATTTACCTGATATAAAATAATATTTCTTTTCGTAATATGTTTATTGTAAAATTTTAGTAAAAGAAGTAGTTGCATTACTTTTGTGACACATACAAAACTGCAATTTTGAATTTTGAACTTTATTTAAAATTTTTTGCTAATTAACTACGATTAGTATAATGATTTTTACTTATGTTACAGACAACAGGTTGATGCCTATGAAAAATATTCATATTTATCAAAATTTCATAAATTTTATAAAAATAAAAAATAAACTTTAGTGTTATGCATATGACAGGATATGTTACGAGCATGACACAGGTTACAAAACTTGTCAAGTAAGTTTTGTTACATGTGTACAATCTTTTATTAATTTAATAAATTAAAAAAAAAATTACTTTATACTTTATTAAAATAACTGAAATAAAGATGGAACTGAGTAGCATATTAACTAACCGTTGTTCAATGCATTTAAAAGTCATTGTAATACAAAATAATGGAAATTTTCATTGATATTGTCTTATTACTTGAAAAAATAAATAGGTCATTAAATATTGAGAATTTTAAACCCATTGGGAATTCCGCATTATACATGGTGCCATTGGGCTGGCTAACACCCTGGACTCTTGACACCAATTAATGATCATTATACAAAATGTTATAATAATAAAAAAATATGTGTGACTTTTGTCAGCAATGGCTAAAGCTAATTAATGACGCAAATGGAAATTTCAACAAGAACATAGGCATTTGTACACAAAAATACATAGGCATTTGTACACAAACCTTCACATTCTTGCTCATATCCATTTTATTTGGACAAGAAACTTAGCTCCTCCTCCAACACCATTTATAACACATTTGCATGGAAAGTTGCAAAACATTTCTATTCAAATGTTTTATCGTATTGCAAGGGTAATTTTATCATAAACCTATTTTTAAATTTTGACATCAAACATATGTCAAATATTTCGTATAATTTTTTAATAAAGCAATAAACACTATCTTGAACAGATAAGACATGTTTTGCAACCATTGTTTTTGAAAACAGCACCTGTAAACAATTGAACATTGTTTCTACTCATTAGTGCACTTTGTACTTCATTTTGATATTCATAAACATATGCTATTGCAAAATCTATCAAAAAAATTTTATTTTATTATTTTATGCAATTCCCTTGTCTTTTTTAAATTTAGCTGCTAAAACTCTTTTTATAAGAACATGCTCTTGAAATTCAGATAAAGTAAATAGTAGTTCCTCTATTAATTTTTCTTTTGCACCCATTTTTTTATTGTAATATAAAGATTTCCAGAGTCACCTTTAGTCCACTGCTGCCATATGACCTGGTATTTATTTTTTCAATTTTCAACTTTCTCAGATTCTTAATCTTTTTATTTTCTGCAGTGCACTATTGTTTGTCAGCATTTAATTATTCTTTTAGGTTTTTCAATTTCTCAGCTTCAGGTATTTTCTGTTATATATTAACCTAAACTTAAAACAGCAAACAACCAAAATTTATAAAGATTTTAAATCAATTATAAAATTATTTAATTGCATCTATGCAAGCAAATTCAAAAATTATCATAGATTATTTATGATTTTGTTTCAATTTACACCAACTATTTATGTTGATTATAATTTTCGAATTTATTTTTTTAATTTTCAATACCTTTTACTTTAAACATTTTCAAAATATGCATTGTATTTAGCTCACAAATAAAACATTTTACTGTTTTTTTGTTAGTGTGTGACATCACAAGGGTAGTTATTGAATTGTAATACACATTTCTACCAATATTCTTTCAAAACTATTTTTTGTTTAAGTAAAAATAATTATGATATTGCTTTGTGTAATTAACACGAACTAACAAGATTTCATTAATACACTTCTAGGAGAGCATTATAATATTAATATTAGATATTAACTATGATGAATGGAAAAAAATAAACTGATATTAAAAATTAAAAAATTCCAAATTTTATTAACTGTAAAAAAACATTTAAATGTATTTAAATGTTTTTTATACAGTTAATAAAATTTAGCTTATTTTTTGTAAAAATCTAAAATTAGAAACTTAGCTTATTTTTTATAAAAATCCAAAAAGAATTTTAAAAAAAGTATTTTAAAAAATAGCTCTCTAGTTTCATTAATTTGAGAATCGCTCTGATGAAGATGATGATGATGATGATGATGATGATGATGATGATGATGATGATGATGATGATGATGATGATGATGATGATGATGATGATGATGATGATGATGATGCAAAGCTATCAACTTTTAAAAATGGGTATGACTTTATGATATTGCCCGTGATATATTGCCCATGATATATGTATTGAAAAAAATAAATTGTTCTTTAAAAGTTGGGAGGCTTGACAGCTATGATGATGATGACAATGATGATGATGATGATGATGATGATGATGATGATGATGATGATGATGATGATGATGATGATGATGATGATGATGATGATGATGATGATGATGATGATGATGATGATGATGATGATGACAATAAGGAAATTGATAATAAAACAATAAGTCTGATATAATAATAACCTAAATAATAAATCTCACAAAATTGTGATTTTGTAAGTGGAATAAAAGATAATAGCCAATAGATAAAAGTTAAGCAACAACTGTGGCAATTTTTATGGTATTAGCAAAAATACTTTATATTATGTGAAAGAAACAACAAATAATGCTGAATCAATTTACCTGACAGGATATTACTTCACTTCCTAAATGTTTGTCAAAAAGTTTACTTTGACTTTTTTTATCATTAAAGTCGTCTCCTTGAAGTTCAAAGTTTTGTGGTTTTTCTTTTTCTGTATTACTTTCATCTGTTTCGTATGTCAAGCAATCTAACATACTAGAATTTGAAATTTGTGGTTCTTCTAAAACAATTTGTGGCAATTGAGCCATATTGTTAGAACTAAAAAAATCATTTTGGTCTTGTATTATTGTTGAGTCAATATTATTTCTGCTCAAAGGTTCAGATGTTAATTCAAAAGGAAAAGTGTTATTCACAACCAAATTTATTGGAATTTCTTGCATGTTTGAAGAACAACTGTTTATAATGTGAAAAGGATTAAGTTCACTAGATTCTTCACTATCATAAAATATTGAGTTAGTACTGTTCGGAATATGTATTATGTTTCCCCTTGCATTTGAACTCTGGATTTGATTACTTCTATGTATATTTCGTTGCATATATGGAATATATCTGGGTGAATTATAATTTGGTGCAGTTTGAATATTATCACTGAATGGTAAAAATGTCCTATTAGATTGTATATATGACATACAGTCTCCACCATTAGTAGTTGGGATTTGCTGAAAAACCTCTTCAGCAAACTCTTCTGTGTGTATAGTAGATGGATTAGGGTCAAGAGAAAATATATATTTTTGAGAAATATTTTCATTCTTAATATTAAAAACTTTTTCAGATGATTCTTTAGATGACGATGCTTCAAAATCGGAATCGCTGCATAAGGGATACTTAAAGTATTTTTTTTCTTCGCTAATTTTTAAAAATGGAATTCGGCTGCATTTTCCATTACACTTTAATACAAACACATACTTTTTATTTAAAACAGAACATTTAACTTTGTCTTTTATTTCAAGAACTTTATGAGCAACTATGATATTTCCCGTGTTTTCACTATTATATAAGCTGGACTGTTTTGTTTCGTTTTTATTATCAGATAAATATGTGATAAGTTCATTAGAAATACAAGCATATAAGTTATCCAAGCTTTCATCGCGTTTGTATTTAAAATCAAAAATGTGAATATTTGTTGGGTAACAGTAATTATTATTACCTTCATCACTTCCAGAACTATCGGCCATTTTAACGTGATTTTTAACAAGAAAATAAAAAAATTTTTTTATCTAGTCCGGTCGCCGAGCCATGTGACCTTAAAATAGGGTACAAACTAATTTTTATGGTTTGATTTGATTTAATTAAAATTTATTAAACAATACATGTTCTAAAGAACACACAGATCCAAAAAATAAAAAGAACTCCAACATAGTGCCCCACAACAAAAAAATAAATATACTAGAGAGGTTACAAAATTAGGAAATAATATAACTATAACAAAAGCGAAAATTGTTACACGAGATGGAAGCAGTATTTTTTTTAAATTGATTATAGTATTAGAAAAAATCAGCACTGTACCATTTTTTTAACGCAGGTAACTAAATTATAGAAATTGAAAAGTAATTATTAAAAGCAAATAAATCCAAAAAAATAATTTATACATTTTTAGAACAAAAACTTATACAAAATTAAAGTTATTTTTAAAACAATCTTGATAAACTCATGATATTGTTATCTTAATCACTAATATCAAATTCATATGTATTTTTATCGCTTTCTGTTATCAAACTCATTTTCCACAATCCAATCAATACGGTGCAACGTTTACATTTTCCACAATCCAATCCAAATACGGTGCAACGTTTACATTTTCCACAATCCAATCAATATGGTGCAACGTTCAATCTTTGTGCATTGTGTCTTTTTATTTAAGAACATCAGGAAACTGCATCTAAATAAAAATATCTTTAAAGTAAGGTGCATTTGTACATTTTACAAGTATTATTATTATTCACATTTTCACAAGCGACTATGAGCATTAAGTGATCAATAGTAGGAAAAAAAAACAACCCATTACTGATCCGTGCCTAATTTACTTCATTATACCTATTTGGATAAAGATAAATTATGCATCAACATCATACATCAACGCATATACACACACATAACACAAACCTTTTAGGCAGTTATACATCGCTTAAGTCAAACATTCGTTTAGTAGAACCGTTTTCCTAGGTCCCCTGAAGGGTCAAGATATCTGTAATTAACTATAATATATATACATATATGCATATAATTATACACATATATGTATATATATATATATATATATATATATATATATATATATATATATATATATATATATATATATATATATATATATATATATATTATATTATATTAAAATTTACTATGAAATAAATCGTGTTAATAAGAGAACTGGAGCAAACAGAAGACATAAGTTGTCTTATCATCAAGCCCCATCATAAAATTTACATTAAAAAATTGTCAGTTAATATAAAAAATGAAGAGTAGCTAAGTACATAACAAGAATTTTAAGTACGTTAGTTACAATATAACTAATAACATAATATAAATATTAGTGTTGAAATACAACGCATTATATCAAAGATTATTAATTATATAACTATTTTTTTAGATAATTTATATTATTTGTGTAATATTTTTAGAAGAGATATTTTAAATCAAAGTCTTTTTGTAATAAGAGATTCTTAGATTATTTTCTGAATTTTTCCAAAGAAAAATTCAGAAAATAATTGTGTTGAACATTATTATTTTTTGTGATAAATTTTGAAAAATGTTTCCATAGAAACGGTCCGCGGTATTGGATTTTGTAAGAATTTAGTTTTGAATTAGTTTTTGGAACAATAAAGTTATTAATTGAAAATTTAGTAGGATACTTGTGCGAGATTTCACTAAAGTAAGACTGAAATACAATAGGAGAGAGTTCATGATTAGTTTTAAACATGTATTGTAGAACTTGGTGTATATTAAGTTTATAGACACTTAGGGTACCGAGCTTCCTTAAAAGAGGTTCATACTTTAAAGTTCTGTGGGCACCAAATATAATCCTGCATGCATGTTTTTGCTTACTATGAAGTTTTTTCAACTTACCATAGTTAGTACTACACCATACAATATTGCAGTAAGAGATAAAACTATAAATAAATGAAAAGTATATTTTTTTTAGAGAAGAGGTGTTAAGATATGGTTTAGTTTTATATAATATAAAAATATTTCTTGATACTTTATTTTGTATATATTTTATATGTGGTTTCCATGACAAATTTTCATCTATTATTACTCCTAAAAAATTAACGATTGGTTCCCTTTTAATAAATGTTTTATTGATTAGGAGATTCGGTAACTTTAGAGGAACATCATCACCTTTACTAGGTTTGGAAAATAAAATAAATTTAGTTTTGTCTACATTTAACGAAAGCCTATTGCTTGTAAACCAATCGTTTATTTTTAATAGTTCTTCATTAAATATATTAAAGAGAGCTTTTATATCTTTGTTAGAATAAAAAAGATTGGAGTCATCTGCAAACAATATAACATTTAAAATATTTGATACTAAGTAAAAATCATTTATATACAATAAAAATAATAATGTCCCTAAGATTGAACCTTGGGACACACCACATGTAAAATGTTTTTCTTTTTCTTTTTTATTATAAATAATACATTGTGACCTGTTTGCTAGGTAGTCTTCAAACCAAAGTAAATTTTTATTCTTTATTCCATATAGTTCTAGTTTTTTTATAAGTATCTTATGGTTAACAGTGTCAAAGGCTTTTGACAGATCAATAAAAACTCCAAGAGTAAAATAGTCATTATTGAATGCATCTGATATATACATACCAAGGGCATTTTTTGATGTATGAGAAACCTAACTTCCAGATATGGAGCAAACTCCAAAAATTAATATGTTTATACTTATATCAAATAAGGTTGCTTTACAAAAAATTGCAATGATTGGAGCCTGGGAACAAAAAAGCCCTAATATTTAGCTACACCTGCCCCAAATGAGAAAGCAACTAGTTGATAAAATAATTTTTATACTACTCTTAATTAAATCTATATTCATTGACAGATTTTAAAATTCACACAAAAGTCTTTTAGCGTTCAAAAACTATGACAATAAAAAATTTTAACCCCTCAATTTGAGGGGGTTTCAAATTCTATAAGGCCATAACTGTTGAACGGTAATAGATTATTGTGTGAGTTTTAAAATTTATCGATGAATATATACTTTATATTCATCGATAAATTTTAAATAAATTTATCGATGAATATATACTTTATATTCATCGCTAAATTTTAAAACTCACACAATAAAATATTTTTTATACTATTTTTTGGTTAAAAATAGTAGAAAAAATATTTTATCAACTTGTTGCTCTCGCGTTTGGGGTGTAGCTAAAATTTAAGGGCTTTTTTGTTTCCAGGCTCCAATCATATATATATATATATATATATATATATATATATATATATATATATATATATATATATATATATATATATATATATATATATATATATATATATATATATATACTTGAATGTAGACATCATGTATGAGAGTATGTAAATTATTATTTTATAAACATCAATAAATACGATTTTCTCTCAATACTAAATTTATTTTTTATTTTTTAAAAGAAATTTTCGCTGGATTGTTGTGACCAGCGTCTTCAGCTTAAAAGATTTGGTATGTTTTTGTTTATATGTTATTTTTAAACGGCAATTTTATTATATGTCAATGGAATGGTTTCGTCTTTTTCTGACGTAAATGCATTAGAAATGGTGTCCAGAATTTTGTTGACACATATTGTCCCTCATCTAAATTGATACCACTTTGTTGAGGGGCACATTGGTGGTACTGTATTTCAAGCGCCTCACGAACTTTCCTATCAAACTTTTTGTTATTGACTTTTAGAGTTCTGCAACTGTCCCAGTTAATTTGTTGTGCACAATGTTTCATGTGTGTGGCTAATGCTGATCTTTCTGTTTTATTTCCTGTTGTACTGTTTTTGTGTTGTTTTTGTGTTTTTATTTGCATTTTTGTTTCACCAATATACTTTTTGTTACAATGGCACTTAATAAGGTAAACTCCTGGGTGGCTGTTCCTTTGTAGTTTGGATTTATTTCTTGAAGTCAGTATTGCTTCTAGGTTTAAGTTTGATTTGAAGACCGTTTTATATCCTGCTTTCCTAAACACTTTACGCAATTTGGGAGACAATATTGGTACTCAAGGTAATGAAATTGTTGGATACGTACTGGTGATGTTGTCAATGTTTTTAGTAGTCACTAGAGGTTTTTTGTACTTTCGTTTTATTTCTTTTATGATTTTTATGAGATTGGAATATTTTTATGGAACAATGAAATACATGAACTTGAAAACTCAGGTCCAATAGGTCTTTCTTTTATGGTAGTTTTAGCTGAATCTTTTTTTCAAAATCTTGAAAAAAGAGCGCTTAATACTAATAAAATTGCCGTTTAAAAATAACATATATACAAAAACAAACAAAATCTTTTAAGCTGAAGACGCTGGTCACAACAATCCAGCGAAAATTTCTTTTAAAAAATAAAAAATAAATTTAGTATTGAGAGAAAATCGTATTTATTGATGTTTATAAAATAATAATATATATGTGCTATATACATATGTATATAGCACAGATTCTATTTTTATAAAAAATTAAAAATTCAATTTTTTTTTTTATTACGTATTTTACCCGTTTCAAAACCAATTTTATGTTAAATTGCTAACTTATAGTGTTTAAAATTTGTGCGTGTCGTTATGTTACATAATTATTCTCATAAGGGATCGTCCATAAAGTACGTACGCTCGGAGGGGAAAAGGGTGTCTACAAATGGCGTATATGCGATAGGAGGACAGTGGGTCAATTATAATAGAAAGGACAAACTAAATTAAGAAAATTATCATAAAATGTTAAATAAATAGGTTAAAAGAGAAGGTACTTTTAGGGAGTTTGAGAAAAAAAAGCGAACGTACTTTATGGACGACCCCTAATGAATATTTTTTAGTTGGATTTGATTCAATTATTTATTTAATTTTGCATAGTTTCTAAGATTTTTTGTACAAATATTTATTATTATTTGAAACCGGCCCTGCAACACTAATTTTGATTTGATGTACAAATAATTATTACTGTTACAGGGCCGAGGATACGGAGGGGGAGGGGAGCCCAGTAATAGTTATTTATACAACTTTTAAAA